TTAATATATTTTTAAACTTATTAGAATCTAAAATATTAGTTAATTTTCTTTTTATTATTTAATATACAAAACATTAGTTATTAAATAAATTTTTTATTTAAAGAAATAGGTTTTAAAAAGTTATTAAAATCTAATTATTTTAAATAATAATTGTAATATTAACATAGTCTATAATCAAAAAAAACAGTTAACTTTTTCTAATGATTATCTAAACCAAATTTATCAAAAAGCTAAACTATAGAAAAATAATATAGTTAATATATTAAACTTTATAAAAACTTTTCTGAAGTACTAAGCATGTATAATAGGCATTAAAATAAAGTTAAAAAAGAAGCTATCACTTTGAGATAATAGTTTAAAAGTATTTTAAAATCATAAAAAAAATGATTAGTAAAAACTATAAGTTTCTTATAAAGTAAATAACAAAGTTGGATATATTATTTTTATACAACTATAAAACTTACAAAAAACTTTCAGAAGAGTTAAATGCTTACAAAAGTTAAAGTTTGGTTCACTTTATACCTTTATTTTTTCTTAAAAAAATTTAATAAAAGGTAAGTAATTTAGTTTACTCTCTTTAAAAAATTGATATGTAAAAACATCAAAATAGTTAGCAATGTTTATTTCTTAATCAGGATTGTATAAAGAATATAGTAATATAAACACAACTTATATATATGTTTTAAACTGCTAAAATACTGCTTTTAGACTAACTAGTAATCTATACTAACTTTCTACATTTAAGTTAAAGTTTTATTCTATATAGTTTTTATTAAATATTCTAAGTAAATAGAAAAATAGTAAAGTTAATTCTATTTAGTATAGTTTATAATTTTTAAAAGCCTAACACAAACTTATAATTGTGATTATTTAATAGTTATGTAGTAAAAGTTATATATATCTTTTTTTTTTTTTACTTTTTTCCTTCTTTCTTTTATTTTTTTAAGTTGTATCTTTTATTATTTTCTTTTATACCTTAGTGTTTTTTTATATATAAGTTTTTTTTGTTTTTGTTTATTTTTTTATAAGAAGATATTATCAGATTAGTAATATTCTATTATAAAGTAGCAGTTGGATGCAGCTCTTAGTATACTCTAATTTTTTATAAAGTTAAATAATGCAGACAAATTGCTTGTAAGATTTATAGAAGTATTTGCAAAATGTTAAATCAAAAGTTATACAAAATTTTGTATATATATATGCAAAAAATTATAATAAAGATAATTAGCAAGACTGTTTATATAAAAGAAAAAAATTTAATCTATAATATAAATAAGTATTATTAAAAAAAACCTGTTATTTTAAAAATAAGTTATTTAAAAAATATAACAATTTAGTAAAATAATTAGATTGTCAACTTTTCAAGTATTAGATTGGATGTTTAATACAAAAATTTGGATAATTACCTACAGTATATAATATTTGTATTTTTTTTTTATTTTTTTTAATCTTTGACTAGTCTTGCTAAGATCTTTCAACAGTCTTTGCATTTTTCAAACTAATGTTTTCAATATACTTTTGGATCTGAATCTTGACCTCCTTTGGTCCATACTTTTAAACTTTTCAGAAGTAACTGTTGCACTGATCTCTGCTAGTATTAGAAGTCTTTGCCAAGCTCTATCAAGAACTGACTATTACTATAAGTTCATGTAGCATCTCTCATTGTCAGACTTTTGGCCTCACATTACATCTTATGATTTTGGTTAATCCAAATCAGGTTCTAATTCGTGTTCATTATTGGGTGACTTCTCAATTGCAGGTCATTTGCCTTTTCTAAAAATAAGTCCATCTGATGATATTCTGGGTTCCTGGTGTCACAATGTTGCAGTTCTCTATTTTAGAAATGCATCTCTACAATTGCTGTCTCTAGGATTTGAACTGGCAACCTTGTGATTTGTGACTTCAAAGCATAACCACTATGCTATTAACTCTAGAGAAGTAATATTTATATTATAGCAACTGTTACTAATAATTGGATTAAGATACTTGTAATAATAGTTATACCAGTATGACTGACAAATTATAAAACATCTGTGTAAATAAAACATTATACAGAAAAATGCAAACTAACAATTAGGTGATGCAAATACTAGATAAGTTTTTGTAACTATGTAAATTTATTGAAATTAGGTAATAAGAAGTCTATTTAGAAATAACTAAATAGAGAGGTAGTTAGATCTTTGATAACATTACTATAAAGTTTAATTTGAAAAAATAAATATTAAGGTTATAGTACTTATTTGTAGTATTCAGGCAAACAAAAACCTTTAAGTTAGAAAAGGCTCAGAAATTCTACTAATTAGGCTGTCAGAATGAACCAAAAAAAAAGAATATTAAGTCAACCTAATATACTAATAGACTGATTATAGTTCTATATAGGCTATTTGGATTAGAAGTCTAATAAAAAGATGAATAAAAAGACAAATATACTAAAGTACTAAGATTATACTGTAAAATAAATGCTAAGATTTGTGTGAACTTTATAAGAGCACAGTAGTTTAATAATTAAGTCCAAATCACAAGTGTTAGTTCTGTTATAGCAATATCAAATCAACTTTAAAAATGAATGCAGAAGGCTCTGAAATATTTACTTCAAGGATAAAATAGTTCTAAGATTAAAACAATAATCTGAACATTTAGTGATATTAATACAGATTGCAGATTTAAAAAGTTTAAAGTAGAATATTCAAGCAGAAATGTTAAATATAGCAATTGGTAGAAAACCTTTAGGCAGACTCCTTAAATAAATAATATAGAAAATTTATATATATAGTCAATTGTATACTCTTTTGTAATAGTTTATTGAATCATATTATTAAAAAAGTTATTAATAAAAATCAAAAGATCAAAGAGGTTATCTTAATATTAAAAAAAAAGTTATTTAATAATTTATTTTTAAAATTGTAAGTATTTTTTTAGCAATACTTAATACAATATTTTTTATATTTAATATAAATTTCTTTAATTATCATATAATATACTTTTTTTGATTTTTTATATTGATTATTTATATATAAAGTTTTATTTTAAAAAAATATATTTATTATAAATTTTAATATAAGGTTACTTTTTAATAGAATTATTTCTTAGTTAAAAATAGTTTTTATATATTTTGTTAATATTACTAATAATTACAAATTATAATATTAATTAAAAGATTAAAATATTCATTAAATAATTAAATATTTTATCTAATTTGATATCTTTTGAAATAGATACTAAATGCTTTATATATTTGAATTGCAAACATTCTTTTTTTTTTATAATTGTCTTTTTTTTACAATATTTTTTTAATATTAAGATGACCTCTTTGGTCTTTTAATTTTATTAACATTTTTTAGATAATATATTTATATAAAACTATTATAAAAAATACATATAACTTTTTTATATTACTTATTGAAGAAGTCTGTCTAAAGATTTTTTACTAATTGCTATATCTAATATTTTTGTTTGAATATTCTATTTTAAATCTTCTCATTTTGTATCTTTGTATTAACTTTACTAAGTAATGTTTAGATTTTTATTTTAATTTTAAAACTAATTTATCCTTAAAGTAAACCTTCTAAAGTCTTTTGTATTTTTATTTATATTTGATCTAGTATTGCTATAGCCAAAACCAATATTTGCAATTAGGACTAAACATTAAATTATTATATTTTTATAGAATTTGTACTTTTCTTAACAATTTTATTAATGTTTTGTTTACTTTTACAAGTTCTTCTATACTACTAATTTAATAAGTTCTGTATAATGTAACTTTATATCTAAATTAACTAATAGTTAGATTGTTAAATTTTTTTTTGCTAAAGCTAATGTTAATTATATATACATAATTTATACAAAATAAGTATATAACTAGTCATATATATAACTTTTGGTTGTTTAAGTAATTCATTTATAGGTTTTACACAAACTGTTATATTTGTAATTATTAATAAAGTTATGTTCTTGCAAAGTTTACTTAACTCTTAGTATTAATTTCAAAATATATCTTTAGTACTTTTAATATACTACTGCTTTGTTCCTAGACTTACAATTTAGATAGTCTAGTAAAACTATAATTTGTCTTTGGTATATTAAGTTTTGTCTAAAATTCTTTTTTTTCAATTTGAATTTTAACAATCTAGTTGGTAATGCTTCTTACTTAGAGATTTTTGTTTGCTTAATTTCTTTATATTAGTATTTATTTTTTAGATTTAGTCTTTACAGTAGTATTGTTAAAGATTCGCATCATTTTTTTATTTAGGTATTTCTAAATAGGCTTTTGTTTTTCAATTCTACAAATTTATATAGTCACAAGAAGTTATTTTAGATTTGCACTATCTACTATGGATTTATATTTTTCTGTATAATTAAAGTTATACAAATGTTCATGACCTGTTAGTTATATTAGTGCAATCATAGTTACAGATATTTTGTCTTAACTGATTGACAGAAAATGGTTGCTATAATACAGATAAAATTTCAAAATTTTATTATTAGTAGGTTTTAAACTCCTAAGCTGTTACTTAAAGAGGTAACTTATTTATTTTATTAAATTATTACACTTTTTTGATGAATTTTTACAATGTTTATTATAAGATGATTTGGTATTATTTATATAAAACCTTTTTTATATTCTTAGTTATATATAAATATCATTCTTTTTGTAGTAATATTTAATTGTATCTTGTTCTTTAAAATTACAATACTAGAACTTAAAAGTTTATTTTTTTGTTTTATATAATATACTGTAATTTAATATAGTACGATTTTTTGGAATCACGCAAGGTAAATTAATTTCGGATCCGGTTCATTTCACCGACAGTACGATTCACTTACAAGTTTATTTCACCGACAAGCTTTTTATAAATTACACTAACCTTAACTCTAATTCTAAACCCGACACTAACGACAATGATCAGAATTACTTTGTCAGTGAAATGACTGTCAATGAATTGATCTATCGATTAATTTCATATAACATTAAATCAATTCTATCAAATGACTAATACTATATGGTTCTTCAACTTGCTGAAAATGGCGACCTTCGTTCCTATTTATGTAATCACTTCTCAGAATTAGATTGGATAACTAAAATTAAAATGGCAAAAGATATTTCTAGTGGAGTTAATTATTTACACAATGCAAATATTATTCATCTTGATATTGTAAGAAACCTTTTCTGCTTAGTTTACCTCTCGCTTTTTGTTATGTTCGTTAATATTACTATCCGTAAACGCATATTAATGATTACGGATTTTGGATTATCTAATTCATTAGAAAATAACATAAAATCTATTTGTGGAGGAACGTATGCATTTCCCGATCCACAATATCTCCAAAATCCATTTGTATATAAACGAGATAAAGCTTCTGATGTCTATAGTCTTGGCGTACTTTTTTGGGAATTATCGAGTGGTGTATCTCCTTTTAAAGATATACCTGATCCAGTAAGGATAGCTTTACAAGTAATTGAAGGCAAAAGAGAAAATCCTGTTAACGGAACTCCGGTTGACTTTATGAATATTTATTGTGATGCTTGGAGTGGTGATCCAAATTTACGTCCTAGCATAGACAAAATCCGTGTTAAATTAAATTATATACGAATGGTTCCAATTTATCACAGTGAAAAAGATATAGGTATTTCGAGTAATGATACAGAATTTAATTCATCTAAACTAGATGATGCTGATGATAGCATTCAAGATATGACTTTAATAGGTTCCTTATTTTTAATTAATTATTAGGATTAAATTAATAAATCTTATTTTTTATTAATAACAAATTATTTGCTTTTACAGAACAACGATTTAATCAATTGCATGCCGTTAGTCAAAATTATACAAATTTCAATTCGGAAATTTATATTACTATGGACAAAGAGGATCTGTTTGTAAGATTAAATAAATTATTAGAAATTGATTCAAATAATACAGAAGCATTAAGACTTCGTGGAATAACACACT